CCTCTCTCTCTCCCCCTTTAACTTTATAAAGGCCCTCCCCCAGCTCATTCACCTTTTTGCTCTCTCTCTCTCTCTCTCACTCACGTTTTCCCCTTTAGACTTTAGAACCTTAGGCACTGAAGCCACACTAATGAGCTTGACAAGGGAAGGGAGTTGGAATCCCATGGTGCAGGTAAGTAGGATCTTCCCCATGCTTTCATGCCTTGTGTGATGCATGTTTAATCTATTGCTAAAGTATGAAATTGATTTGTGTTTTTTTAGTGCTGCATGCTTGATTTGTTGGTAAAAACATGAAATTGAAGTGTGATTATGCATATGCTTGTGAAATGGGGGTGGAGTTATGTTGTCTAAATTTGGTTAAAAATTCCTGTAATTTTCTAGAAATATGTATTCCCTGTAAATTGCACTTTTCACCGACTTTTATATGTCCAAATGAGTTCAAATTTGATTCAAATGAAAGATGGGTGAGTTCTCTTCAATTGTTCTTATGGTTGCAGAGTGAGATTCTTTATGAATTGGGAGATAGGCTACATTTTCCAAAAGAGTGTCACCTGAAATTCTGAGATTTTCCAGAAAACCACACTCTCTGTGCATTGCACTTTTCACCGACTTTTATATGTCCAAATGAGTTCAAATTTGATTCAAATGAAAGATGGGTGAGTTCTCTTCAATTGTTCTGAAGGTTGTAGAGTGAGATTCTTTATGAATTGGGAGATAGGCTACATTTTTCAAAAGAGTGTTGAAGGTTGTAGAGTGAGATTCTTTATGAATTGGGAGATAGGCTACATTTTTCAAAAGAGTGTTGAAGGTTGTAGAGTGAGATTCTTTATGAATTGGGAGATAGGCTACATTTTTCAAAAGAGTGTTGAAGGTTGTAGAGTGAGATTCTTTATGAATTGAGAGATAGGCTACATTTTTCAAAAGAGTGTCGCCTGAAATTCTGAGATTTGCCGGAAAACTACACTCTCTTTGCATTGCACTTTACACCAACTTTTATATGTCCAAATGAGTTCAAATTTGATTCAAATGAAAGATAGGTGAGTCCTCTTCAAGGTTGCTTTTGGTTGTAGAGTGAAATTCTTCATGGTTTGAGATTATGCCACTGATAATATATGTAATGTGATATGTGATATGTGATAAGTGATATGTGATAAGTACTGTGATTTCATATGTGAGCATAGACTTGCCACATAATGTGATATAATGTGTAAGCATAATATGATATAATGTGTAAGCATAATATGGTATAATGTGTAAGCATGATGAGATATGATGTGTAAGCATGGACTTGCCGCACGTGTGTGATATAATGTGTAATCATAATGTGATAAGACGTGTTTATGAACTAGTAAATGTGCATGGTTGTATTAAGATGTGCTTGTGATGCAATGAATGTTTACGAAACAGTGAATGTTTATGAAATATTAAATGTGCATAATTGCGATAAGGCATGCTTATGAGCTAGTGAGTGCTTATGAAATAGGGAATGTTTATGAAATATTGAATGTGTATGAAATGAAAGTATACCCTGAAATGAAAGTATGCCCTGAAATGAAAGTATGATCTGAAATATGTATGTGCTATGTGATGAGGGGCACTATACAATGGGTTATCTATTGGTAGTGTGATGCGATGTGGTATGATATGTGTGATATGAGGCACTCTGCAATGGGACACCCATTGGTAGTGTAATGTGAAATGTGTGTGATGATACTCATAAAGGAAAGGTTCGTTGAACTGCTAATTCATATGATATCTGATATCTGAATTGTGATTGTTCCACCATGAAAGGAATCACTTATGATACATTACCAAATTAAATGTTATACATGGTTTCAGGTTACTTAGACTTGCATAAATCTGGAGTATGAGATTGAGTTATTGTATGTGGGCAGGAACACATGGTGCTTTGATTTACTTACTGGGCTTTATAGCTCATTCCATTAATTTTCTATCTATGTAGAGTGATAGCTCGCAAGGGAAAGGCGAGCAGTTTGGTGAGTACAGTTGACGATTGGAGCCCTGAGCTTGACGCCCTGAGCTTGACGAGGACGCCTTTTTTGATGTGTTTTTTTGGCAGTTTGGCCATATAGTTGTTAGGATTTTGATGTTATCTAATGTTTTTGGGCCATAGGAGCCTTGGACACTTTTGTTATACCTTGGAGCTAATGATGGTTCGGAATTAATTGTCCGGCTTTTTAGGTGGTTTTATGTGTTTGGTGTTTTTCTTTCTTTCATGGTTTGCACTGATTACTGTTTTATAAAGCGTTGAGTCACTCCAACCTAAGTGGCGTTTGCAACTTCATGATCACGGTCTATAAAGAGGGAAAACTTCATGATCACGGTCTATAAAGAGGGCAGGAAGCGGGGTCGTGACATCATTGGTGGGGCGAAATTTGTTATGACCAAAAGATGTTGAGCACCATTATAATTGCTTAAAATACCTCATACTTACTCGATTGGCACATGACAATCCATTTAAGTTGGCAGAGTATTCTTGCAGTGCACTGTCTATGATTTACTTTAAGTATGTGAAGTTGGTAGTATCCCAATTGATTTTCTACGAGGCTAGGATATGTATTTCTCTTTAGAGGATGAATATTTGGTTGTGTTTGGGAAAAATAGTCGAGTGACTCAAAATAAGTGCCGAATGTTAGGAATTTGACATATTCTAAGGGTGCATCTGATGACTGAAAGTACAGTTTTCCCTCTACCCAGGGAAACTTGGAGGCTTGGAAACTATGAGGAAAAGAAAAACTAGTGGCCTGGAAACTGTGAACCGTTACACTGTCTAAATTCCCTGGTGATAGCAGTTTCCCAGGTTTGGGAACCTAGAAAGCTGGAATCCTCCTGTTTTAACTGTCCATTATATGATTAATTAATTAGAGATTGAAGTTTATCTTTTGAATGAAATTTTTTATTATAATAATGGTTGTAAAAAAAATGATTCGGATCATCATCATCATCAGAGCCTTTCTCAACTATTTGGGGTTTGCTATACTAATACTGATCAGCCATTCTGCTCTATCAGAAATAAGTGATTTGGATCCTAACCTTATTGGTCCTATTAATCGATAATTTTTCGGTCTCTATCTCTTGTACTCGCTGATCGTAGTTAAATGGATGGCTCATACAGATTAGAGGTGGGAGGAGAGAGTGAAAAAATAGAGGGGAGAGCGAGTGGAGAAAAAGTGAGTAGAGAGTGCTGAAAGAGAGTGAGCAGATACTTGAGCGAGTCAATGAGCATAATTTTGAGTGAGAGAGTGAGCAGAGCTTTGAAAGAGTGAGAGACTACCTAGAGAGAGAATGAGGATAGCCTTGAGCGATAGAATGAGCATAGAGAAATGGAGTGAGGAGGGTAAAGAAAACCTTCACCCTCAAAGTTCGACTTTCTTTTCTATGAAACGCCAGGATATACCCTGGTGGGCTGCTTTCCCAACATCCCTGAAAGTCGGGTTATTGACTTTCCCCATTCCTGTACATTATCCCCCATCAGATGGGGGAAAGCTATAGTAACCGGCAAAATTGGAGGTTTTCTTGGACTCCTGTTATGCAACTCCCCCAAGGGTGTGCTTGTTTTTGCTGCTTGCTCTTTCCTTGATAGAGTATATTTTTTCCATTTGATTTTGGGGGTAATATCATTGGGCCTACCACCTGAGTGTGCTAGTTTTCGTTAAAATTAGGGCATTGACCCTAGAGAACCTGGTTACCACAGTAAATGTTACACTTACTAAACACGACCGTGACTTCCTTTCTTATCATTTATCAATGTATCATTTTACAAAGCACAATGATCTAGCTTAGCCTTTATTGAGGGGAGTTTTAACCTGATTCTCCCGCCTTCCTCTATCTCTATAGTGATGCCTTTCTTATTGTTGGATATTTGACAGATTTGGCGCAAGAGAGAATGGCAAGCGATAAATAAGCCATGATGGTTCTAAATGTTTTCCAAACATGGAGCATGTTTACTTGCAAGTTGAATTCTTATTTTTATTTTCTTTTCTATTTTTAAGGATAGACTCTTTAATCCCTCTTAGAAAGTATGGAGGCTCCCGATTTCCTTTTACCATCCAAGAATGCAAAATAAATTACCTTCCGATTCAAAAGAGAGGAGCCATGAGATGCAAGGAACACTGGAGACTGCCATGGGTGGTAAGGAACAAATAGCCAACAGGGCTTGGGGGGGGAGTCTAGCCAGTGTTAACTGGCCTTGGTGGAATGGAATATCATAGATGAACTTCTGAGTAGTCGAGAAGATGCTATAGGGATTGCTTTGCTTCTCCAGGGATATGACGTCGGTGAGAGGAGCCACTGTACATTGAGAACCTTCAGAGATGCTGCTATCCTTCTAGTTTCAACCTTCCCCAACATTTCTGGTTTGAAATTGGTGGGGAGAAAGGACGATAATCGTGCTGGATGAGGAGAGAGCCATGGTGAAACTATAACTTTTATAGGTTTTGCTGATAGGTGGACATAGTTGGATGTTACACAACCACCTGAGGAAACAGAAGGGTGGCTAGGTGATGCAAGTGGGTCTGATTCCTTGGGAGTGACTGCCATGGACAGGGGTGACCTGCTTTTTTTGTTTGCATTTGCGAATGATTTTCACTTGCGTGTTCAGGACAGTTAATGGCAGAGTCCATGCTTTACACAGGGGTCTCCAGGGCAGACTGGCTAAGTGAGTTCTCAGGGTTGAGGTCTCCAGTGGTGTTGTTCAGGAATGTTTCTTGAGCTGTTTTATAAGTTGGTTGGATACCTTAGGCCAAGCTGTTGTAAAAGGAACCATTTTGCTGCATTTCACATGGATATTCTGTCTGTCCATCTCTTCTCTTCTCCCACGAAGTTTGGCAGGCATTTCTTTAACTGTACCCAAACAGGCTGCAAGACAATTCACTGACAACAGTAGAATCCGGGAGAAGTCCAGAGCATTGGAAATCTGTAATGCTTGCAAATTTACAATAAAAAAGAAGAAAGGAGAGAGAAAAATGAACCTATACCAAGAAACAAAGAAAAACAAATGAAAAGAAAAGAGAGAAAATACGAGAGAATATTCAAAGAAGAAATTACATTACAACTTGTACCCATGCATTGTGGCCAATCACAGCTAGAAACAAATCTCTAAACAAGTGATTTTATATTAATTCAATCTCTGGATTGGTATTCATTCTGGCACCATATATTCTTTGACCAATTTCGTATGTTTTTTTCCACAAGCTCATGTTAGAGTTCAAAAATGTAATTTTCTGGTAAAATCTTGTATGTGTTTTATGGTTTCTCCACTTGTTTGACCACAATGTTTTAAAATCGCTGAACCAAGTTAGTACTTATCCAAGTCTCACTTGGGTTGGGCAGGTGCCAAGTCCCTTGCAGGCCCCTTCATTCCCTAAATGGCATTTTTTAAATTAATTAGCAGTATGTGAGTCTGTGGAGGAGCAGTTAAGTAGGTAAAGTTTGAGATGATGAAGCATTTTGAAGGGAAGGGGCTGGTTTCCATGGAAGGAGAACCAAAGAGCACAGGCTAGGATGCAATGGTGGTTGATATGGACCGTCACTTAGTTGAGTGAAGCTGTGATGATGGATAAAGAAATAAAAGAAGGCTGCAAGATTGGCATTGTTTTTTTTTTTTGGGTAATTCAGCGGGGATGACGAGCCCCTACCTATTTTCTAAATCGTTAATGGTTTTTGAATGCGTTAGGTGAGAATGAAAGCTTAGACCTTAGCTGGGGCACAGGTGGTGTTACTATCACGACCCCAACCCCATTCTCAGCAAGATTGGCATTGTGGATAAGCTATTCTGCATGATTTTGATCCTTGTTAATTTTTTCTGCTGACTTTTTCTGTTGGGGATTCCAACAACTTAACCCCGCTTGTTTTCTCTTTGTGCCGACTCATTAAATGTGGATGATTTGCTTCGGAATCTAGGTCCAATCATATTTCTGTATTAATTGCATGTACAATTGGTGGACTTTTCAGTTAATAAAAAAAAGTGTTGACCCTCTGTTTTCCTTTTCTGGATCCCTTCAGTACTTTATGGACCTTTGTCTGCAAAAGCTGGCAGATAAAATCGAATCAGGCCTGGATTTGCCAGATCTGATACTGAGTCAGCGCATCTCAAAGATTGTTCGAACTCGCCTGGAAATGCAGATACCCTACATTTCAAAGTGGCATCAAGCACTTAGTATCCAGGTTGGGCTTCTCCTTTGTTAAGTTGTATACTACTTTTTTTTTTTCCTGAACATTTTTTCAGCTATAAAACACTCTTCTCAGACTATGTTCCTTTAACAGGCACAACCAGTGAATATCTCAACAAGTTTGAAGCAGCGGGCAATTCTGGTTGATGAGATATGGGATGCTGCAGGAGATCAATCCATGGACATTAACTGGTATGTGAAAAGGACTGTTCTTGGGGGTATATACTCAGCAACCGAGGTGTACATGCTGACAGATCATTCACCAGGTTCTTTCCTCTCAATGAACCCATTGATTTTTGCATAATTTTCATGACTCTTTCCAATGAACCCATTAATGTTTGCATAATTTTCATGACTCCACCTGCTTTTTTCTCTTCATAATTAATGGATGACCCACAATTTATAAGTATGGTGATTATTTCTTTTGCTTTGATCATCTTAACCAGATTTTCAGGACACTTGGATGTTCTCGGAGCGTCGGATCAAAGATGCTTTTGATCTCCAGAAGACATTTCAGGAGGTAACACCTATTCTATATTGGTCTGCTGAACACATTGTAATTGTAGCAGGAAGCTTACTTCAATTGTGCCAAAATCTTGTTATCATGAATATCCAGATGAGATAACTTCTTGGGGTTGTTTAATTTTTTGATTTCATAGAAAAATTATCGAGGAAACAGAGTAGTAAAAAAGAGATCTTTAGAAAAAAAAATTGAAAACAATTTGAAAGAGTAAAGAAAAATTAGTTTTCCTGGTATTAAATTTTAAGATTCTATAATTGACCCAAGAAAAAATTAAGATTGAGCTTTCTGTATTTCCACAATTTTTTTAAAAAAGTTCTCTATATTTCCAAAATAATTGAGGAAAAAAATGGAAAAGGAGCAAAGAGCCTATGCAACTCAGTGCCTGCTTGTACGTGCAAAAAACATCATAAATGTAATAAATGTCTCTGGGCTTTCCATGAGAGAGCTTGTGGCTTCCATGAATCCTCATTAAAGTTGAAAATCAGGTTGTCATAAAGAAAAAGGCATGAAGGGATTTGTATGATTTATTATTTGCCTAAGAATTTGGCCCTCTCATCTAAGAAGGTTGCATTGATGTCTCTTCATACTAACCACTTTTCTATAAAACGTCTATTGCTACCCATTGGCATCCAATTTTATTTTGGAATTGGTGCTTTTGGGGATCATCGTTGTCAGTTCACGTGGTAATCATGTATGCTCTCTTAATTACTCTGAGAGAATATGAGCTTAGTATGTAATATTTGATGCAGGCTATGTATTTGGCGGAAGCAGTGGGTGCCGGTTTAGGGAGTTCTTTGCAAGGGCCCATGAAGAGGCTATTTCGTACATGAATTGAAAGCGGTTAATATCATCTTATCTGCAAGCCATTGTACAAAAATGTCTTGTTTTTGCTGCCAGTAAGAATTTATGCCCCCATTGTTTTTGGGCAATCATTAAAAAGCTTAATCATGCGCCACCAAGATGCTGTATGAGACTCTTCTTTATGGGAATAGAATAAACCACAACAGCTCTTTTCTTTTTGTTTTGCCTCTTTTAGCATAAATAATAGAAGGGTGCAGTTGGCATATGGATGCATCCGTAGTTATAGAGGTAAGGTGCACCTTCAAATTTTATCATGGTATGTAATTTTGATGTAAAATGTTTTCAGGATTATCTCAAAATCTATTTTTATACCTAATTATAAATTTTAAATTTCAAAAATGGTTAAAATCAAGTAGTTCTATAAACATATGAAAATCTGGAAAATGGACTGTGTGGATAATATATTGTAAAATGCACTATATCTGAGACTTAAAATCTTTTTATTTTTCATGGTCATGTATCTCAATGTCGAGATGATCAAAGGGATTTTCAACATTAAAACTACTTTTTCCGATGGATTTTTGAGGTGCATCCGTAGTTCTACATTATAAGGTTGCATCCTTATATAAACTTTACATAATAGAATGACTGTTACCGATGATACTTCTGGATATCCTTCCTTACATAAACTTTACATAATAGAATGACTGTTACCTATGATACTTCTGGATATCCTTCCTTATATAAACTTTACATAATAGAATGACTGTTACCTATGATACTTCTGGATATCCTTCTGCGTGCAGGTGCACGTGTTCATGCAATTTGCCCTAGAATACATCTCTAATCCAAATTAATTAATTTATGATCTTAATATTTCATTTTATTGACATCCATCAAGTGTTAGATAATGTATTACTTAATTGATATTTATGGAGATTCGTTTTGAAGTTAATGTGATCTATTTGTAAGGTACTATGGGAATCAAATGCCAGTTTTTGCGGTCTCCTTTTTTTATCATGTTTTGTAATTGAATTAATGTTTTGTTTGGGGTCTGCTTCTCATCAATGATTTTTTTATCATGTTTTGTAATTGAATTAATGTTTTGTTTGGGGCTGCTTCTCATCAATGATTTCTTTGCTTTCTTTCTTATTTAATAACCTCTGCTACTTATTTTCAAAAAGAAAAAAAAAGAAAACTCTGCTACTTTATGGGCATGATTCCCTGCTCCTATAAAGAAAGAGGAAAATTCGTGCCTCGTACTGTTATTTGTAGGAACTGCATCTTATCTGCGAGCTTTTACGAGGTCTGAACTCTGAACCAACCATGGTCACAACTTAACCAGGAGTTAAAACTTTTGTGATTCTTGTTGGAAGGTTACGATGCAGCTGCTCAAATGCAAACTGCAATCACTCTTCCTTTTTGCTTCTCGGTTCTGTTTTCATATCAGCCAGGAAGTTAGCGCAAAGTTCAAGTCTATATATATATATATATATATAGAGTACTTTCAGGAAAATGAAGTTAGCATAAAGTTCAAGTCTATGTATACTCCAGGCATTCAAGGATCATGCAGAGAGAGAGAAACTAGCACAAAGTTCAAGTCTGTTTACACTCCAGGTAAGCAGCGTTACGCTGTTGTCTGTTCCGGTGTTTGACCTCGGGCAAGTCTGGTGACTCTGAGATTTTAAAAAAAATTATAAAAAAATTCAACTAAATAAGAAATCTATTTGTAAATTTTTTTATGTGTTCTATCATTTAGGCAAAGATCGGAAGTACAAGGTCATGAATACTTATTTTCATTTTTCCTTCTTTTTGGATTATTTTGAAAATACCCTTGGTCACAAATTGAATTTTTTAAAATCCAATTTTCACTACTTTTCAAACATCATTTAGATGTGTTTTGTTTAATTTTACTTTAACCATGTTTTTCCTATTTTTAAAAATTTTACATTTTTTAAACATTTTTTGCTGTTATAGTAATCGGCCCTACTCGCACCAAGTATTCGGATCGGGCATGGGTTGAGTACTCGGCCTGACTCATTAATTCAAGCACTTGTTTATGCAGAATTGGCTACATGATTAAGTAAGTCCGATATTTTGTTGTTGGATAGTATGTTTCTGATATGGCCATGTGGGTGAGGTCACCTTATACTATACAAGTAAAGTGTGCCTCTAAGTTTTGTTGGAAGATGTTGTTCAGGTGTCAGAAATCTTACAATAGCTTAAAAATCCATGTGCAACCCCAACTATGAAATTTAATACTTAAAAAACAGTGTAGATCAAGAAAATAAATGAAGACTTGAAAATCTTGAAAATAGACAGTCTAGATAATTTGTTACAAGATATACTATTTTTTTAAGATTTATTTATTTTCTTCTTTATATTGACACCTATCGAGGTCGAGATAAGGGATAGAATTTTCGAAATAAATACATTTAGGATAACTTAAGTGTGGCCCCAATAGGCGATAAGATGAGATAAAGTAGATTTAGGTGGGTTGACCATGTGCGGTGCAAACTTAAAACAACACTTATTAGAAGGCACAAGTTTGTTCAAGTGGAAGACTCAAAAAGGGAAAGGGGTTAGGCCTAAAAGGATATAGTTGAAAGCATAGTTATCGGGAGCGGGAGCTGGAACGGCTCCAATTTTGGGAGCGGGAGCGTCGGAGCGACTTCTGCCCAAAGCTTCGGAGCTCGAGGAGTGGGTTTCGATGAGGGTAAAAGTAGCAGATCGAGATCTCGTATGAACAGGGAGCGTGTTCCCAATACATCGGGATCGAGATCCCTATTTAACGGGAACGATTTCTATGTCAAATGGGATCATGTTCCCCTATTCATTAGGATCGTGCTCCCATCAACATCAGGATCGCACCCCTATTTAAGAATGACCGTGTTCCTATTTGGAAAGGATCTAGCTCCATTCAAGGAAGGATCGCATCCTGTGCATGATTAGTCCACGGTCCCATCGCAGAACTCCACTCTTATGAAAATTTGGCTTGAAATATAATTATTTTATTTTAAAATTTAATTTTATTTAAGAAGTTTCTTTTAAGATGTTTTGGGAAAATAGGGATGGAGTTGCGGAAATGTAGGGATCGTGCTCCTAAAACTTTGGGAGTAGGGATCTAATTGATTCAGGAACGAGATCCTAAAATTTCGTGCAGTATAGGGAGTGAGCTCCATTGTGAACGGGATCAAGAATTCTAAAAATAGGAGTGAGCTCCCAAAAAGTAGGAAACAAGTTCCGATCGAGATTTTGAGTACGGAGTGCTGGAGCTGGGTTTCGAAGCGGGAGAAAGGTACAAGGCATAAGCCTAATACCCCGGAGGCACGGTAAAAGACACAAACTTCTTGGGTACTAGAAAGCCCTAAGGTCGGTCTAGTGCATGGACCTCCTCAAAGAATGTAGGAGAAGAGGGGAAAGAAAGAGGAGATAAGAATGAGGGGGAAGAGGGGAAAGAAAGAGGAGATAAGAATGAGGGGGAAGAGGGGAAAGAAAGAGGAGATAAGAATGAGGGGGAAGAGGGGCACTCTATGATTCTATAGCCTTTCGGAGTTGCTTCTCCAAAACAGTTGACCCAAAAAAGGTACTAGGCCTAAGCCTAATACCCCGGAAACACAGCAAGAGATGCAAACTTCTTGGGCGCTAGAAAACTCCAAAGTCGGCCTAATGTGCGGATCTCCTCAATAAAGCATATTTAAAATAAAGCCGAAAGAAAATAAAGAAGATAAAGAGAAGTAAAAGAGAGAGAGGGAAGAAGAAGAGAGAGTAGAAAGAAAGAGAGTAGAAGAGATTGAGAAAAGGAGAGGTAGGAAGGGAGAAAGAGAGTGAGAGACAATTGGGGTAGCTTAGCTACCTCACTCTTGGGAACAGAGAGAGATAGGGGAGATGAGGAGGAGAAAGAGAGAAAAAAAAGGGGGAGGCACCCCAGCCACCTTCTTTTTGAGAGGGGAGAGAGGGATAGTGGAAAGAGAGAGAGAGGCTGAGAAGGAGAGGGATAGTGGAAAGAGAGAGAGGGTGAGAAGGAGAGAGAAAGAAAGGAAAAGAGAGAGAGAGAGGGAAAAAGAGGGAGGAAGAGGGAGCTGGGCAGCCCAATCACCTAGCTCTTTGAGGTTGAGAGAGAGAGAAAGAGAGGGAAAGAGAGAGAGGAAGAGAGAGTTGAGCGGCCCAGCCGTTGATCCTCAGAGAGGTGAGAAAGAGAGAAAGAAAGAGAGGAAAAGAGGGGAAAGGAGAAGAAGATAAAAGAAGAAAGAAGAAAATGAAAGAACGAAAAATAAGAAGAAAGAGAGGAGAGAGAAAATGACAGAGTACCTAACAAGTGGGCTGAAGGCTTGGACTCGGCGACTAGGTGTGCTCCAAACGGTCCTTGAAGTGCTCTTGAAAGGTAGAAGGTTAGAATACAAGGTTGGATTTGAATGGACCTAGGTGGACTATGGTGTATGGTTGGTGGGGATAAGTAGGGCTAGGGTGTATATATTAAGATAAGTAGTCTAGGGTGTATGGGTTAATATAGATGATTTATAGTGCATGGTATGATGAGGACTAGGGTGTATGGTAGGTTTAAGTGAAGACTAGGGTAGAATGGGTTGAGATGGGTAGTCTAGGGTATAAGGTGTGGTGTGATGTGGGGAGTAGGGAGTATGGAAGTAAAAAGTTGGAGGGTTGGAAGTTTAGGGTGTGGGAGTTTGGGAGTACAATTGTATTCCTTTCAATGCCAAAGTATTCCCTCTCTCTTCTCTTTTGAATTAAAAATAAAGGCAATCTCACAAGAAAATGCTCACAACTCTAAGCAACTCTTCCTTATTTTCAACTTAGTGTTACAAATGATGTAAAAGGATTTATATATGATCTCCACAAAACAAGGGTCGATGACCAAAAGACAATAAAATTGCTAAAAATAATGTTAAAAGTGAATAAAATAATCAATCTCCTTTTTGTGTGTAATGAGCATTTGTCCTTGGCTAGAATCTTGGAAAGGACAAAACCATCCCTCTTGTTGGGGCTTCTTGTGATAGTCATGCCTCGAGGCTCTTTTCAGTGCTTATGGTGGTATTTCGGACAATCCAACACTGTAAAAATGATGATCATCTAGAGATGATTGATTTGATATTCATTATTAAGCTTGAATATAACTTTTGAGGTTGATCCCAAAATCCGATTATTCTTGAAAATTTGATTATTCGATTTTGCTCGTTTCACCTTTTTTTCACGTTCTTTATAACTA